TAATTAACAGAATTACTGACAATATTTAATATTTATTGAGCATTTTCTATATGTCTCACACTGTTGTTCTAAGTGCTCTTTACTCATTCAATTCACAGAACCCCACCTTATAAATCAGACACTTTAGCTCACTGTTCTTCTTTTAAAGGTAAGCAAAGTAAGGCTCAGCAAGGTTAGAGAACTCACCCAAGGACCCAGAGCTAGTAAGCGGCAAAGCCAGGAATGAAACCCAGACCATCCAATTCCAGTGCCCAGGCGCTTGACGTTTGCAATGGTGTGACAATCATAGTGGCCTCAAAAGACCCACCTAAAAAACAGACCTACCGTTTTCATCCTTAAAGTTGGGTGAAATATGAACTGTTAATGATCCATTTCTATGGATTTATTTATAATTACTATGCCTTTAGGACATTTTCATTTGCAAAGTGAACACTGATAATACATTAAGAACTTTGAATGAGAGAGTATTAATTTTATGAGAAGCATATTTTTAACTGTGAAAAAACTGTGTGGAATTGTACACAGATGGAATCAATCAAGGCTCTCACAGACAAGCCCCAGACTGACAGCTCACATTTAGGCACTGCCAATCATGTCACTCATGAAATGGTTAAATAATAAAGCACAAGTATCTCATCAAGTTTGTAATAACCTGAGAAAAACGCTTTGAAGCTTGGCTCTTCTGTTCACAGGTGAATGGGCTGAGGCAGGGAAAGGTGCTGGTTTGAATTTGTGTGATATGGCTTGATTTTTTTAATAGGAAAGAGAAAAAAAAAGAAGGTTTGACAATGGATAACTCACAACATGGCTTAGTAGATATTTTCCCAAAGTTTAATGTTTTCAGTCAACAACTGGGGAAACTACAAATATCTTTACTAGACTTATGCTTCCAACAGTGGCTAACTAAGTACTTAGAGTACTTAATACTCTCCCACTGCAGAACAACAAAGAACTGGACACGTTATTTGAGAGACTGTTGGTTTTGAAAGCACAAGAGATCATTCCAAACCACCCCTGGAAAGAGGAGGAACTGGGTACACAGTAGTAAGGAATCAGGGCCAAGCACAGTCGGAGCAGCAGGCAGTGGGGCAGGATCCAGCTGCCTCAGAGCAGAGGCGCAGCAGAACAGCACAGTCTGGAAACTGAGCCCAGGGCCAAACTCAAGGTGGGGAGGATGGGCCACTGTAACCCACTGAAGCCAGGTCCTCAAAAAGGTCTGAAGTGGTCCAGGTAAGGGGCGACACCTGGCAACAAGCTGGAGCAAAATCCATGTGCCCCTGCAGGAAGTTTTCTCAAATTCCCAATTCCTGACAATAGGACTGACTGACATGAAGCAACATGCTCACAATCACAAGTCACCAAACACACTGGAAAGCAAACCATGATGACAATCACAAACTACACAGTCAGTCAACAAAGTGCATGTCTACATTCTTAAGAACTTCAGGTGTTGTAATCATCTGATACAGAATAAAGACTAGCTATGCATGTAACATTTAAAGAAATAAAAGGTACAGTCACAAAGTTCACCAATGAAAGAATGTTAAAAATAAGCAGATAAGTTAGGAAAAAAAGCTGTGAGATGTTGACAAATAAAATATAAAACATTAAAATAAAAAACTCCACCATCAGGTTAAACATTAAATCAGACACAGCTAAACAGAGGATTACTGAACTGCAGATATACACATAAATATTTTTACTCTATGTGATTACATTAATGCAATTAAAACCCGGTTTGATACTTGAGTGTTAATCAAAGAGATCTAGAGTTGTCTTAGTTCATTTACACATAATTAAAATTATGGTATTCACAGTTTAAAAAATAAGAAGGAAATTCATCTTTCTTCACGGAAAAAGCATTTAATAAGTAATTGCCTGAGACAGGCATTCGAAGACCCCATAACATGCAAAAAAACACAGGGGCTTGTGTACACACGGAGCCCAGCCCAGGGAGGCTGCTCCCAAGCCTTCAAACACTGACTGCCTCTGGAGAGGAAAACTACAGTGCTACAGGGCAGAGATGAAGGGGAAGTGATGAATGAGAATGACGGAGGGAGGGTGGTTTGTGTCGCCTGTGCATTCCTTTGTAGCTTTTGGATTATTTGCTAGTTGCATTATTATCTATTCATGAAAATTTTCAAGTTTGGGAACATAAGAAAAAAGACACAACTGCATGGCTTCTGACAGGAAGTCAGACCTAAGGAAAATTTGAAAAACAAAAACCTAAAATTATTGGACAACATAATGGTCAACATCCCATGGCTCAGAAATTTCCCTGATACAGTAGGCACAGCACTACAGAAAACAGGGAGCTTTAGAAACATGGCACATTGTGACAAAGACAAACACTGTACTGAATTTGACATGCCAGCTAGCTCATGTCAAACTAACTCAGAAATCAGTGGCTGGCTCTGGCTCTTGGGTTTGCTCGCTGGCTCTTTCTTCCTGGGGGATTCCTGCATGATCGTGCTGCAGCTGCCTGCGTTTCCCAATGGACGGCATTTTGGATGGGAAGGAACTCCTGGCACAGCTCAGGATCAGGCTGGGCTGACAGAGGGTAGCAGGGTTATGTTTCTTTGGGTGTTCTGGAGACGATGAGCTCTGAGGCAGAAACCTGCCATTGATTCATAATTGTGTTTTAGTTTATAAACTAACCCTATAGAATCATTTAATTAAAACTAAAGAGGCATGCTAGGAGAACTCAGTTGTTTAAGAGTTTAGCCTTAATTGATAGGCTTAAATGATTAAAGTTGTAACTAAGGAGAGTTTAGCCTTAATTGATAGGCTTATGAGACTAATGCATGTGGGAAGCTGTTACTCTAAAATTGTGAAGCACATGAATAAAGAATTCTTTCCTGGGATTTCCAGTCAAGATGGAGGCATAAGTAGACACACTGTGCCTCCTCTCACAACCAAAAGAAGGAGAACAACAAATTTAAAAACAAAAAACCATAACTGAAAGAAAATCAAACTGTATGGAAATCTGATAAGCAAGGAGTTAAAGAAGACACATTCACCCAGGCCGGTAAGAAGGACAGAAACAGGCAGCAGGGTTGAGAGGACTGGAGGCAAGGCAGCAGCTAGAGCATCGGGGGAGCACTGTGGGGGCTGGCAGAGTGGGCAGTCCCACATCTGTGTGCGGATGAACCCAGAGGAACAACTGGGAAGCGGGATAGACCACGCAACCCAGGGTTCCTGTGTGGGGAAATAAAGTCTCAAAACCTCTGATTGAAAAAACATGTGAGGGTTGAGGCGGTGGGAGAAACTCCCAGCCTCACAGGCAAGTTCATTAGAGAGACCCACAGGGTCCTAGAACATACACAAACCCACCCACCCAGGGAATCAGAACCAGAAGGGCCCAATTTGACTGTGGGTAGCAGGGGCAGTGACTGAAAGTCAGCAGAGAGCAGATCAAGCGCCATTGTTCCCTCTAGGACTTCTCCCCCACATACAGCACTACAAAGCAGCAACATGGGTTGCCCCACCCTGGTGAACACCTAACACTCCGCGCCTCTTATTATGTAAAGAGGCTGCAGAGATGAAAAAATTGCCCAGATGAAAGAAGAGATCAAAGCTCCAAAAAAATTCAACTAAGCAATGAAGAAACAGCCAACCTATCAGATGCACAGTTCAAAACACTGGTAATGTTTGAGGATGCTCACAGAAATGGTTGAGTATGGTTGCAAAATAGAGGAAAAAGTGAAGACTATGAAAAGTGAAATAAAGGAAAATACACAGGAAACCAACAGTGATGGGAAGGGAACTGGGACTCAAATCAACAGTTTGGAGCAGAAGGAAGAAAGAAACATTCAATCAGAACAGAAGAAAGAAACGAGAATTTTAAAAAATGAGGAGAGGCTTAGGGACATCTTTAAATGTTCCAAAATCTGAATCATTGGGGTGCCAGAAGGAGAAGAGGAAGAGCAAGAAATTGAAAACTTATTTGAAAACATAATGAAGGAGAACTTCCCCAATCTGGCAAAGGAAATAGACTTCCAGGAAGCTCAGAGAGTCGCAAAGAAGGTAAACCCAGGGAAGCACACACCAAGACACATCATAATTACATTACTCAAGATGAAAGATAAGGAGAGAATCTTAAAAGCAGCAGGAGGAAAGGAGACAGTTACTTACAAAGGAGTTTCCATAAGATTATCAGCTGGTTTCTCAAAAGAAACCTTGCAGGCAAGAAAGGGCTGGAAAGAAGTATTCCAAGTCATGAAAGGCAAGGACCTACATTCAAGATTACTCTACCCAGCAAAGCTTTCATTTAGAATGGGGGGCCCGATAAAGCGCTTCCCAGATAAGGTCAAGTTCAAGGACTTCATCATCACCAAGCCCTTATTATATGAAAGGTTAAAGGGACTTATCTAAGAAAAAGAAGATGAAAACTATGGACAGTAAAATGACAACAAACTCGCAACTATCAACAATCAAACCTAAAAACAAAAACAAACTAAGCAAACAAATAGAACAGAATCAGAATCACAGAAATGGAGATTACATGGAGGGTTATCAGCAGAGGAGGGAAGGGGGAAGGGAAGAAAGGGGAAAAAGGTACAGGGAATAAGTAGCATAAATGGTAGGTAGAAAATAAACAAGAGGAGGTAGAAAATAAACAAGAGGAGGTACAGGAAATGGAGAAGCCAAAGAACATATATGTACCACCCATAGACATGAACTAAAAGGGGGGGAAAATGGGACAACTGTAATAGCATAATCAATAAAATATATTTTAAATGGTTTTAAAAAATAAAGAATTATTTCCTTTACCACAAAAAAAGAAAGAAAGAAAGAAATCAATAGGCAACATCCTATCTGTAGAATGTGGCATGTAACATGGGTCCCAGTCCATTCCTCTGCTAGATGGGTACTTCCCAGAGAAAACTAAAGGACAAACAAAGGAATTCTGACAGTACAGACAGAATGCATATTTTCATTTGATTTGTCAAGAGATACCGTAGACCAAAGCATGTATTTATTTACCTATGGTTTCTTACCCCAAAAAACAGGAAAGAAGAAACTGTAAGACAAATAGAACATTCTTCCATTGGTTGAATTCAGTTGCCTAGTATCAAAAGAAAGAAAACTAATGATTAGATCAATAAAGTTAGTTTAAATCTATTGATTTTACCACCTTGTACATTTTATTTAGGACAGGAGCCAATTTCCCAAAGAGAAAACATTATTTTCAAAACCCTAGATAGTACCAATTATATGATGTTGGGAAAATTACTTTTCTTCCCTAAACCCGTGGTCCGTTTTACAAAATGAGGATTTTTTTTTAATTTCCTCAAAAGTTCAACATAGTGATTTAATGACATTGTTTAGAACCTTGCAGGTGGCAAGAACAAAATGAGAGTTATTGTTGCTATGGCTATCACTAAATCTTTACTAAAATTGTAGTCACACAGTCAGGTTAGGTTTCCTTTCTATAAAAATAACCTTAGAACAAAGCTTATTATAAAATTAATAATGTTGGCATTACTGTTTTCTAAAATTTGCAAATGCTTAACAAATATCATAAAGAAATACACAATTATTTGTTACTTAAAAAGCAATAAAGTAATTTGGTGGAGGTGCTGATAGACAGAAAAGTTTGACTCAGTTTCTGCTCTTAGTCGCTAGCTGAAAAAGTAAAATTAACCACCTTGAAATGACAGGTGACAATAAAAAGAAGTATTTTATTCACGACCTGTCCCTTGCCTGCCTCCAAAAGTGATTTTAAGGGGACTCAATATTTGCCCTGACCAGGGTGGCCCAATACGTTGGGCATCATCCTGCAAAGCAAAAGGTCACCGGGTCAATTCTCGACCACAGCACAGGCCTGGGCTGTGGGTTCAATCCCTGGTGGGGGAGCATGTGAGAGGCAACTGGTCATTGATGTTTCTTTCCCTCTCCTTTTCCTTCTCTAAAAATAAATATAGAAAATTGTTTTAAAAAAGAGTATGCCTAAGTACTGCTAAATACTATGAATAAACGTTCTATTTACTTCCTGTTAAGCAATATTTTGCTAGCCAAGTTTTAATAACTTTGTATGTTTAAAATTATTTAAATCTTTCTTAAGTTTATAATTCAAATTGCTTAAACCAATTAAAATGGAATTCTCTTGTCTGATTACTATAACCTTGTCACACCTTACTGTCATTGTTTCATTAGTGATACTCTGCCCCCCCCCCTTACCAAAAAGCTGATACTCTTTAAAAGGTGACAACTGCTGAAGCTGACTGCTGGTACGTGGGGTTTGTATATTATTCTCTCTCCTTCTGCACAGGTTTGAAACCTTCCTTCCTAAAGCATTTTTTAAAAATGTTTACTTGTGAAAGGAAAAGTATGAGTATGAGTCTGTCATACTAGCAAGCCCTGTGCCAACTATCAGGAGTTCATGCCGGTGCCAAGGGGAAAAACCAACACAAACCATGAAAACACTCTGTGTCTGAAAGTCAAGTGGAACTGGGACTAGAAGAAACCATACACTCCAAACTGAAACCAAGTAAACAGTAAATCACAGTCATATATTCCTGATGCCACATAAACCACAGAGGGTGATGCAGTAAATTTCATAAAAGCATCTGGATTGTTGGCCAACCTAAAGTTTGACAGATTTCATTTTGTTTCTCTAATAATGATGAGGCTGTATGGGGAGCATTTTAAAAAATAATGCAGCATGACATTTATTTTAAAACAAAATAATTCAAGATAAATAACAATAAAATTACTTCTTCCTATATAGACTTATTATTGCTAAAACATATGTTGGCATGTTGTTTTCATTCTGCATTTATGAATTTTTAATCAGAAAAAGGTCATATTTACCTCTATTCATCAACTGTAATGCACTAAATGTACTTTGATAAATTGCCAGTTATAAAAACAGTCACAAGAATATAAAGCACCGCATAGGGGATACAGTCAATAATATTGTAATAACTATGTATGGTGTTAGGTGAATGGATACTAGACTTGTCAAGGTGATCACTTCTTAATTTATATAAACATCTTATCAGTATCTTATACACCTGAAACTAATACAACATGTATGTCAACTGTAATTGAAGTTTTAAATAAATTCTTATTAAAAAATAAATGTACTTGGATTCAATAATTCAATGATTCAAACGACTTTAGTTCACCTACTGAATGGTTTCCAGAAGCCCAATTTGTCAACAGTCACTAACTCAATCAAGGATGAAATTAATGCGCTATCAGACCTACCAACTGTACGAGTCCAAGGTCCAGGAGTGGACCCCCAAGTGCAGTGACTCGCACCAACTCCCAACACCATCTCTGACCTTCTGCTGTCAACCAGGAAAACTAACTCATCAAAGTGCTCCTTCCCCAAATGAGAGAAGTTAATGCTTCATTTAATTCATCATCTACTTCTGGTAAAAAAATCAAACCAAACTTGGCAAGTAAAATGCCATTTTATATTGCAGACTAACACACCTATGTAAAATTATTTGCTCCTTTTTTGCATCTACTTAACAGCTAACATGGAGGCAGCCATGGTCAACAGTGACTGGAAGAAGTTTGTCCTGAATCAACTACTGTAGGGAGTATGGGGAACAATTTTCCTTTACCCTCAAGGTTCTTTCGGCTGGCCTAATAACCAAACAGACATGACACAAATTAACAAGAGAAAACAACCACATTTAATTTATACATATTATGTAGTCTATTTTGCTCACAGCACCTAAAATTAAGTTTCTGGTCACCATGCCATTCATAACATTGTTCCTATGGGGAAATATGCTTTTAGTTCCAATCAGGTATTTAAAGGGTTGCTAGGAACTTCTAGATCTCTATTTCTAGAAATAAATTTATATCTGAAACAGCTCTAAAACACCAGGATTTCAGAATACATTCCAATGACGTTAAAAGAAAACCTCTTTTCTATGATAATGAAATGAGACAAGCTATTAGGGCTACCTCACTGAGGGTTCAAAACTTCGCTTCTGACCCCCAGTCGGGCCACATGTCTAGGTGGCAGGTTCGAGCCACAGTTGGGGCTCCAGCTGTGGTTGGTTGGAGCCTCTGCATCTCTCCAACCCATTAGTGTTTCTTGCTTCGATGTTTCTGCCTCTTGCTCTTTCCCTTCCTCTTGCTCTAAAATCAATACATATCCTTAGGCGAGGATTAAAAATAAATAAAATTAAATTAAAAGCCCCAAATGTATTTTAAAATCAATTGATGGTGGCTGAAAAGTAAATATTATACTTTCTGATACCCTGCCCTGTAAGTTATTACTAGAGCGGGGTGGGTGCCTGCTCTACCTCCCAACAGCCTGAAACTACAGGAGGCCTCAGGTCACACAGTGAGAGCCCTTTACCAAAACTGCTGTTTTGGGGTGGTTTTCAATAGAAACATGTGGAAATGGCTGTTTACCCAGGGACGCTGCTGCTAAGCCCTTCTGCTCCCACCCGCTTTTCAGAGAGGAAATGTGTAAGTGAGAAAGTACAGTTTTGAGAAAGGACGATCGGCCCTGACACCCACCCCAGAAACCTGCAGCCTTCAAATCCGTTAAAGTGCTACCAATGGGACTGACTCAGCACACTGCCCGCCCCCCTCCACGCTGATTGTTAGACACAGAATGCTGTCCTGTAGGAGAAAAACTGCTGCTGCACAGGAACTCTGTGATCCCACCCCGCCACCACGGGCCAGCAGGGTTTGGTTCTGTGGGCTGAGGCCGCGCGCAGCTTTTCACTCGACTTTAAACATCGCCTTAAGACACAGGCAACATTCCTAGAGGTGGTATGGCCAGCAACCCCCTGAAGAAGCAGGGCCGGCAGGGCCAGCACATGGCAAGGTGGCCGCAGTCGGTGTCCTGGGGCACAAATTCGCCCCCCCAGGAACCAGCTCCCACGCTCTCCAGGTGGGCCACCTATATTTCTACTAACCCACTACCTTATTTGTCCTCATGGGTGTGCCCACATAAGGGAGCGGGGCAGATACCAGAAAAAAAAAATACCTTCTCAAAATCCAAACATAGATACTAGAATATTTAGAGACAAAGTGGCATGCTGTCTGGAACTTGCTTTAAAATTTTCCAGTGAGGGAAAGTAAGAGCAGAGGGGAGAGATGAAATATCAATGGCAAAATACCAAAGTGTGGATGTGGGGGTGGGGGGGTGGTACATGAGTTCATTAAATTATTCTCTCTACTTTGCATGTTTTAAAATGCCCATAATCAGACTTCCAGCCAAGATAGAGGTATAGATAGACACACTGTACCTTCTCACACAACCAAAATAAGGACAACAAAAATTTAAAAACAAAGTAACAACCAGAAGTGACAGAAAATTGGACTATATGGAATCTGACAACCAAGGAGTTAAAGTAAACACATTCATCCAGACTGGTGGCCGGGTGGAGAGGGGTTGCAGCAAAAAAAAAAAGGGGTGGCCAGAGGACCCAGGCGGTCCCACATTTGCATGCAGGTAAACCAGGCAAAACTGGGGAGCAAGACAGACCTCACAACCCAGGGTCCCAGCACAGGGAAATAAAGCCTCAAAACACCAATTGAAAACACCTGTGGGGGTTGAGGTGCCAGGAGACACTCCCAGACTCACAGGAGAGTTCATTGGCAAGACCACAGGGTCCTAGAACATACACAAGCCCATCCACATGGAAATCAGCACCAGATAGGCCCAGTCTGCTTAGGGGAAGCAGCAAAAGTGACTGAAATACACAGAGAATGGAGCTAGAGCCATTGTTCCCTCTCAGACCCCTTCCCACATACAGCACCACAACCCAGCCACTGGGTTGCCCTGCTGGGCAAACACCTAAAGCTCTGCCCCTCACTATGTAACAGGAGTATCAAGACAAAAAATTGCTCAAATGAAAGAACAGATCAAAGCTCCAGAAAAAATACAACTAAGTGACAAAGAGATAGGCAATCTATCAGATGCATAGTTCAAAGCACTGGTTATCAAGTTGCTCACAGAATTGGTTGAATATGGTCACAAATTAGATGAAAAACTGAATACTATGCTAAGTGAAATAAAGGAAAATGTACAGGGAACCCACAGTGATGGGAAGGAAACTGGGACTCAAATCAATCGAGTGGACCAGAAGAAAGAAAGAAACAACCAAACAGGAAAGAATGAAGAAACAAGAATTTTAAAAAACTAGGAGAAGCTTAGGAACCTCCAGGATATCTTTAAATGTTTCAACATCTGAATTATAGGGGGTACCAGAAGGAGTAGAGAAAGAGCAACAAGTGGAAAAGTTACTTGAACAAATAATAAAGAACTTCCCCAATTTGGAAAAGCAAATAGACTTCCAGGAAGTCCAGGAAGCTCAGAGAGTCCCAAAGAAGGTGGACCCAAGGAGGAACACACCAAGGCACATCAGAATTACATTAGCCAAGATTCAAATGAAGGAGAGAATCCTAGAAACAGCAAGAGATAAGGGGACAGTCACCTACAAAGGAGTTCCAATCAGATTGTCAGCGGATTTCTCAAGAGAGACCTTACAGGCAAGAAGGGGCTGGAAAGAAGTATTCCAACTCATGAAATCCAAAGACCTACATCCAAGATTGCTCTATTCAGCAAAGCTTTCATTTAGAATGGAAGGGCAGATAAAGTGCTTCTCAGATAAGGTCAAATTCAAGAAGTTCATCATCACCAAGCCCTTATTATATGAAATTCTAAAGGGACTTATCTAACAAAAAGAAGATAAAAAACATGTACAGTGACAGGACAGCAAACTCACAATTATTAACAAGCATACCTAAAACAAAACAAAAACAAACTAAGCAAACAACTAGAACAGGAACAGAACGACAGGAATGGAGATCACATGGAGGGTTATGAACAGGGGTGTGGGAGGGGGACAGAGGGGGGAAAAGGTACAGAGAATAAGTAGCATAGATGGTAGGTAGAAAATAGACAGGGGGAGGGTAAGAATAGTATGGGAAATGTAGAAGCTAAAATAAGTATGACACATGGACATGAACTAAAGGGGGGGAAAGGGGGTGGGAGAGGGTGTGCAGGGTGGAGGGGAGTAAAGGAGGAAGAATGGGACAAATGAAATAAAAAATATAATCAATAAAATATATTTAAAAAATAAAATAAAATGCCCATAATAAAGGTAATAAATAAGTAACATTTTTTAATGTCAAAATTCTCTTCTACGTTAAGTAGCTTTCCCAGGCTCCCCACATCAACAAAGGGCACTGAGACTCAAGCTCAGATTTTTATGGTTGTTTTCCAAAAATCTTCCAGTCCAGAGTTCTTGGGACCTCTTGCTGCCACTTCCCAGGGGTCTAAAAGTAAATGCCAATGAAAGGATAGTGCCAAAGGTATTTGTGGGATATCCGACATCTTGCTTTCATGGAATCCTAGCATCCTTTACACACTGTATCTCAGGGCGCACTGAAGGTTAAATTCAAAGATGTGAAAGAATGCTGAGTAAGAACGCAGTGTCTGCCACCAGCTTACCTGCTGGAGGTCTCCTGTGGAGAAGCTAAGGATGAGGGTTGGGATAATCATGAAACAGGCATTGTAAAACAGCACTCCATACTTCCCTAGCTCCTGTGAAAACAAAGAAAACCCCACTTGATTTTAGAAACACGAAGCATCAACTTGCCATTTATAAACTATCTATTTAGACAGTTACAAAATACATCTTGACCATATTGGAATATTTTCAGCAAATCTCTAATGCAAAATGCTTCCTTTCAGGTATACTGTAATCTCAGAATAAACTTTTGTTTCACACAAAAATGACCAATAAAATGGTTGGAGATGGATGGCCTCCAAGCTTCCACCCTTCTCTGACATTCTAATTTTTTTAAAGCATGATTTTCAAAATAAAAAAATCTGGAACAAAATAAAAAAACAACAAAAAATGTTAATATGACTAGAACTCCTTAAAAACATCTGTGCTTTCTATTAAAGAAGAGCAGGGTTAAAACACTACTTACCTCATTTCCAATCTTCCATAAATTTACTTTTCATTAAAGCAGCTACACCACTTCTCCACCACTTTCCATAAAGGGTGACATACTGTGATTCTCAAAAGGCAACAAAACCGTTTTTGTAAAAGTGCCACCATTAAAAAGCAAATGGCTGAGCAGAAAATAAAAACGGCTCCTAGAATTAAGCCTGTCCGTCAAAGGAAACCCTTCGCTTAACACAAAAGACTTGGTACAAAGAACCGTATGTCTGGCTCCTTCTCCTGCGCTTCGAGAACAGCTGGGTTGGGGTGAGGGCTGGGGGCGGCACTTCAGCAGAAAAGCTCATCTGCCCACTGCCCCTCAGGACTGTGAGAGGTGGTTACTGCTGGACAAGACCTTATAAATCACCCACTCCAATCATCTCGTTCCGCAGATGAAGAAACTGAGGTTTCTTCAAAGTCACAATGGCCACCATTAAGCAGCAAAACTTGGAACTGGAACCTTTATTTCCAGACTCTCAAGCTGGAGTTGCTCTCAGACTTCAACCTGGTCACTGGTGACGGTGGTATAAAAAAAACTTTTACTAATTTGCTTTTTGTATATTCTGATTTTGCATCAACAACAGTGGCTTTTCCCATCCTATCTAATTTTCAACCAAAACTTTGCAAGACAAGGAATAACAAGAAACTCTACAGACAAGGCCACTGAAAATAAATTAGCGACATTGTATCAATTAAATTACATGCCCATTTTACAAATTCATTTTATTTTTTCCTGTAATTTCAGGGGCCAGATGACAAAGCCTAAAAGACATAGGAGTGAAGATGTGGTACCTTTGGGTCCATTTTCTGTTTGGTATAAACTCCATTCGCTGCCGTAAAGATATCATTCAGGAATACAAAAATATAGCCTTCCAAGTTAAAGGCAAGGTCAGAACTGAGAGAGAGAATACAAAAGGAAGACTATTCAGAAACTCACATGTTGGCCCCCAAAATCTGCCTGTTTCGTCTTCCCCCCGTCAAATCCAATGGTCATGCTAGTAACCACCTTCCTCTGGTAGAGCTTTCCCCTCAGCAGTGGTGAATGGCTGGTTACTTCTCCTGCTTGGCCTCCAAACACAGAACCAGGCCAGCAGGTGGCTTCCACTTAATCACCAATGGCTTAGAACCAGAGGACATTAAGCATCTTCTTTTTACTACAAGGCCCTTTCTTTTGCTAACTGATAAACTGACATAGTAACCAGTGAGCTCCGCTTTTCTAAGGGGAATGATTTATGCCATACACACAGCGGCAGTTGCTTATTGTAGTAAATAGGGCCACCCCCAGGGCACGGCCCTGTGCAGACAGCTGGGCAGTGACTGGGGCAGAAGGGTCACTTGAGAAACTGACACCTACAGCTGGTGCCTAAACAGTCCCGCCATCCGTCAGAATGCCTTGTCCATGGAAAAGGCAAAGGGAGAGCCACTCCTTCTCTGCACCTCCTCTAAGGCTCCCTCCTTCCCCTTCTTGTGAAACATCTCTTCAATTTTTACTTTAAATAATACTAGTATAAAAATATTTGGGGGGATGTGACATAGGAAGGAAACAGAGAACAACAGCTTAGCCAAGATGTGATTCATCCACCTGCATGTGACCTTGCAGACAGCATAAGACCAATGTCATAATTCATAAATACACATTGCCAAGGAGGTGTCCTCTGCCCCCTCAGGTTCAGTAACTAGAGGCTCGTGGATTTAACTGACAAGAGACACATGAACAGTTAAAAAAAGAGGTATACAAATTGTAGTAAATATTTTATGCATACAGGAGTTCACAGAAAAGTGAAACTCAAAGAAGCTGTTAGATTCTGGGGCTTATATACCATTTTAACAAAGAGGGTTTAGGTTTCGAGAAATAAATAATGGGAAAGGGACTAGGTATTATATAGGGTTTAGTTAGCTCTGTCTGTGCTGACTCTCACCTGCAGGGACAAGAACTGCTTCCCTATTTCCGGGTCCAGGAAAGGGGACACCTTCACGAAGAGAAATTTATGATCTGCTCTTAGGCAGAAAAGGGAGGGCAGAGATTTCTGTATCTGTTGATTCTCAATTACCTTCAACTCAAAACAATGTTTATGCCAAAGTGGCATATTTTGGAACAGCATATCCTGATCCCCTTCAATATGAAAATAAGATTATTTCTAACCAAAGAGAAGTAGAGGCAAAAACTGCATCAAAATCTGTACACAATTTAAACCAGATTTTGCTTGAAGCTTCCACTGGCATTATTATCTACATATATTTGTGAGAATGTAAGTTCATTTTAAATCATCACTATCAGAATTCTTTGGCTCACTCATAGAAATAGAATCTCTCAAAATAAGGGTTCAAACCTCCTGCCTACTCACATTAGACTCAGTGATTGAAAGTTGGCCATTCCCTTAACTGGCAAAGAGAAGAATGAGCAGAACGGCCAGGTTTCTAGAGGAGTGAAGGGAGGTGTTGCTCACTTCCTCAGAGAGCCTGAGGGAAATTTCCAGAGTTCTCAGTTCTCTCTCTGGGGATTGGGAGAGTAGGGGCCAGCGCAGTTCCAAACACCATTTATTTAGGCCAGTAGTGAAAGTACAGAAGTTTGAGAAGAAATTTTTTTTAAGATTTTATTTATTTTTAGAGAGGTTAAGGGAGAGAGAAGAAACATCAATGTGTGGTTGCCTCTTGCATGCCCCCTACTGGGGACCTAGCCTGCAACTCAGGCACGTGCCCTACACTGGGAATTGAACCGGCGATCCTTTGGTTCACAGGTCTGCACTCAGTCCACTGAGCCACACCAGCCAGGGCTGAGAGGAATTTACTTGTTTATAAATTAGCAGATTCATGGTTAACCCTTGCGGTTGTCATTTAGGGCTGTTCGGACATTCTATTTCAACTTCTTCTGACTTGCTTTGGCAAATAAAATGTAAGAGGAATTAACAACTCACTTCAGGGCCAAAGCTTGCAGAGTGAGTGCGCAATTCTCCATATGCCCTCTTCCAGCCTGGATGAGTAAGAAGCCCCCTTTGAGGCAGGGTCCCATCAACCTGGATCCCTGAGCAGCTACACTGAGCAGAGCACACACACAGCATTAACTGGTATTGGTTTGCATGAGAGGTGGGAGCAGAATATATTTGATATGTTTAACAACTAAGATGAAATGTGGGGGCTGTTTGTTACAGCAGCATTCACTGGCTGATCCAACTGTGTCCATTCTAGGATTACTTACAGGTGGATGAGTTCATTTCTGTGAGAGAAGAGAAGGGTGGGGTCTCAGCTGGCCTACAGCTAAAAACTGTACTCGTCACCCACCAGGATGTTCTCCATTCAAGGGGCAAGTTAAGAATTACTATTCCAAGCTGGCTCTGAGGTAAAACCAGCTACCCTTCCAGCTCATTAGAGTATCACATATGTTAAATAAGCTGAATTTCTACTAACTGGTTCTAGAATGTGCTTATACACACATAGAGCTCCTGAAGTGCCATTCTTCACCAAAGACTTACAGACGTGTTTATAAACCATTTTTTTGTAAAGGTCTTCAACAGGCTCTAAGTCAATGGTTTTCAAATTAAGCTCGAAGAAACGTAGCAGAGAGAGGCTGCCCAGGAGAGATCCCCAGAGTGTTGTGAGGGCAGAGAACTTACAACAGAGCACCTCCCTTTTTTAGCTATTTTACTCATCTGATTTTGTTTGAGCAAAAGTCTTCACGACTAACACAGGCTCTCAGTGCTGCTGTTCACTGCCTGGGAGTGAACGGCACACTCCCTTCCACAGGGAGGGAACACAGTGCTGACACCAGGGCGCAGCTTCTGAGGAACCGACCTCCGCCTCAGCCAGGACTGGGAAGGAGCGAGATACACGTGAAAACATAAATAATAAATCTGGTCTTTGTCACCATTTGGTGTGCCATATTTTTAAAGTATATTTCTTTAGGTTATTGTCTGTCTACCAACTAAAATGGAAGCTCTATGAAGGCAAGGATTCTCATCTGTTTTGTTAACTGATGGATTCCCCAGCACCCAGAATGATGCCTGGCACACAGTAAACACTCAGGACAATTTTGTTGACCTTGGCCATGCACTAGTGTAAACCCTAGTTTATTATTACCTCATTTACTTCTCACAAGGAACCTATTAGGTGGATGCTATTCTAATTTCTACAGTACTGCTGAAATAACTGGGCCCAGGGAGGTTGAATAGCTTGTCCCGGCTCATAGAGCTAGTAGGCGCGACAGCTGGAATGAGATCCCAGACATTCTGGCACTGCAGCCCTCGCCCTTATTTAACTCGCAAGTAATGATCCAGAACTCTCCTTTCTAAATGAGTTAAGGTCACTAGTTTAACTAAAATTCCTCTAACTTTTTCTTTCTTCCCTTCATTCAAGCAGGTTTTTCTTTTCTATTATAATCTTTACTTCATAGGCACAGGCAGGCTGAGAAAGAGCAGAGGCAGGACTAATTTCTAAACTTAGGTACTGTAACTGCCCACATGCTGTAACCATATATAAAAGATATATAGCAGATATATAGCATGTAACCATGCTATAAAAGATAGGAGTCTGAGCACCTGCTTTCGAATGCAGACTCAGAGTTCTCATGCTTGCTCTTGCATATCAGTGAGTAAGGTAGTTGTCATGCACTGGTATTGTTGGCTCCTGTCCCAAATATCACAAGACATTTCATGAGAGTATTGTGCCTTGGAAATACTGACTTCTAAGGCATCACAGGATGACAAAACAAATCAGCATTCTAGTCGGTATGTACTTAGTAAATCTGTTCCTCTTCTTAATCAAATGCCTAAGAAGTTTTCAAGTAAAATTTTTATACTGAAGACCAATATTCAGTAATAAAAGTAAACAGTTCATTTCTTTTTTATGAAGAAATACTGTACTAACATCTTATAATGCTCTCTTTATATGTTCTCAGAAACGTCCAGTTTGACTTTCACAGAACACCAGGGAGGTTCCCAAACACCAGATTGCCCCTTGGCTGCTCAGTTCAATGGCAGCCAGAGGGAAAACAAAAAATGAGGACAAGGCTGGGCCTGTTGTCAAACACACAAAGGAGTTATTGAGCTGAAACTATCCAAAGAAGATCTTACCCAGCTGCTACCACTGCACCGAGAACAATGGCAAAGACACTGACAATGATGTTCATGGAGTACTGTTTCCTGTAATGAATACACGGATGAGCAGATGAGAGACAGACAGTCCACAGAAAAGGAGAGTAAAAGAATATATAGAACATATTTTTAAAACAAACTGAATTGTCAACAGTTTTATAGCTAAAATTGAATGAATAATGCTTTACCTAGAGAAAGCATTAAAAGCATTTGTAAGTAGATCAGTAATTCTGAGCAAATTTACTGCTTCTTAAGAACCACCTTAATCTAATTATAAATGCATTTCTCTGTTCTCCTGCTGCTGGTCTAGTTGGTAATACTTATATCAAGTATCCAAAGATTAAGATAAAACTGGGCCATCATCCAAACTTCCTTCCCAAATAACCTTCACAGCAAAATCAGGTATTACCTTTATGAATGCCAGCCTGAGCATCCTTATGAAAAATTTCTAACCCAACATTACAAAAACAAACTTATTCTCATATTACATCATAATCACTGCATCAGAATGGATTTCCCTGAGTGTCTCCCCTCCTAGCCCATATATATACACACAGACAATTTTCCTCTGCATTTCAAAATCAATGTATATTCCATCTGGCTCAGGAAACAGATTTACATCTGTTTGGGGGTTACTATTTTTTAAAATAAATTTCTACCACAAACATGTATTATTTGTCTAATGTAAAATTACAATAAAAAATTACTCATTAAGTTCATAGGGTATTATGGAAACAGGAGACTATTTTTAAGATAACAAACTACTTGTCCTAATACTAGCAATTCAAATCAACTATTTGGAAAGAAGACAAGATGTCGAGAATTTGCTGGGTAAAAATATGCGGGAAAGGGGGAACAGGACATCAGAGGAATGGAGGCAAAACAGAAATCACCCGAGAACGATGGTTTCCAGGAGTAAAGTGAGTGGGATGGTGAATTTCCTGAGCACAGTGAACATCGGCAGGCTGTCAGCAAAAGAGTCAAGAAGAGTAACATCAGGCACCAAAAGAAACTCTAACGTGTTTCACATTTTATATATATATATGTATATATTTTTTATTTAGTTATTTTTCAAGTACAGTTTTTTTTTGTCTATTTCTCCCATCCCACCCCCCCCCCCCGCCTGGTCTCCCCCCTCCCTCCCATCCCCCCCCCAGTCCTCATCCCTGTGTCTTTCATACTTGTTCCTCAAAATCCCTCTCCATTTTTCCCCTTAAGTTCCCTTCCCTCTCCCCTGTGGTCGCTGCCCACTTGTTCTCTATTTCAGTGTCTTGGTTTTTATTCTGTTTGCTTGTTTGTTCTGTTGTTTTCACATTTTTAATTAAGGCACTAATTTTCCAAATTAAATATGAGGAATTGACCTAATTCTCATATATACTACTAATAAATCACGTTAAATAATTAAAAAATGGGAAATTAAATAAGTTTAGTCATTTTCACCTATTAGTTATTTAAAACAATAGAATATCCAACTACTACAAAATTGTTGTGCTAAACTAGTGTACAAGGTGAACCAATATACCCTTTGGCAAAACAGATTGGGGTTATACATCAAGAGTCATTAAATGGGCCTAACCCTCGGCCTAACTACTTCTTGTTGGGAAACTTATCCTAGGTAATCATCCAAAGAAAAGAAAAAACCATGTGTACAAAAGTGTTCTCTGCAGTAGTATCTTTGGGAAAAACACCAGAAACAACAAAATGTCAGACAACAAAGCAATGACTAAATAAATTACGATAAACACACTGAGGAAACATTATATGTGATAATTTTACCACTACTAGAAAATATTAAAGAAAACAGGGAATATAAAAAATCATGTAGAGCCTACAACTCTAACCAAGTATGCTCTGTATGTCTTTTAAAAACACTAAAAATGGACATTTAAAAGTGTGCTAGCGGACAGAATTACCAGTGATTTCTCCTCCAAAACTTTATGTAATGAGGTTACACTCAGTGCTTTAAAAACACTCCCACCGACTCTGAAAACCCAGAGACTCCAGGACACAGCTCAGTGCACAGCCAACGGACTGCAGGGGCCGGGACAGCCCCCTCCCCCTGCTTCCAGACGGGACCCTCAGAGGATGGTGGCCTTGGAAAGGAAAGTCAGAACCACAACCCAGAGCGGGAGTGGCCAGCTCCTCTGGACCGGCCCGGAGACCCAAGGAGAGATTCTGCGTTAGCAGTGGCACTACAGCCAGAGACCAAGTGTGGGAAGGATTTTCAGGAACTTTGTTCACACTGAAAGATTTCTTATGAGAGCTTAATCTCTTGGGCAAGAAAGTACGGAGGGTCAAAGGTTCTTTCTGAGTCTTTTGTTTCTTAATAAACAGCTTAAAATAAAAAAAAAGATTTGAGACTGGTTTGAATTGCTTTTGTCAAAGCAGTCAACTAAAAGTCTTGTTACTTTCAATTAACTTTAAAAAGTACTTTTAGATAGTGCCTTTTAAAAGCAGGTAAGGTATACTTAGTGATCAAAAGTTTGATTTTTCCCTCCTAAGACCAAGAATAGGACCAGGAGGTTCTCGCTCACCACTAAGTCTATTCACCATTGTACTGGAGGTTCTAGACGAGGCAATTAAGCAAGGGAGGAAAGAAAGCCTACAGTTTGGAAAGGAAGACATAAAGTTACCTTTATTTGCAGATGACATATATAGAAAAGCCTAAGGAACTCATTTAAAAATCATTACAGCCCTGACCAGAGTGTCTCAGTTGGTTGGGCATCATCCCTCAAGTGACAGGTGCTGATTCAATTCCGAATCAGGGCACACAACTGGGTTTTGGGTTCAGTCACGGAAGGGCATGTGCAAGAAGAGGCAACCAGTGATTCTCTATCACACTGATGTTTGTCTCCCACATCGATGCTCCTCTCCCTACCTTCCCGCTCTCTCAAATAAATAAATAAATAAATGGCAGTAAACGTTTATACAAATTATTGCAATTAATAGGAATTAGGGAAGTATGCAGGAAACAAATGAATATTCAAAAATTAGTTGTATTTACATTCATTAGCAATAAGCAAGCCAAAAAAATTAAAACAATTCCACTTATGATAGCATCGAAAAGAACAAAATTCACCCTGACTGGTATAGCTCAGTGGATTGAGTGCTGGCTTGCAAAGCAAAGGAGCACCAGTTGGAGTCCCAGTCAAAGCACGTGTCTAGGTTTCAGGCCAGGTCCCCAGTAGGGGGCCCATGAGATGCAACCACACAGTGATGTTTCTCTCCCTCTCATTCTCCTTCCCTTCCCTTCTCTCTAAAAATAAATAAATAAAATCTAAAATAGAAAGAAGGAAAGAAAAAGAGAGAGCGAGAGAAAAAGAAAATACTTACAATAACGGTCAATTATTTTCAACAAGGGTGCCAAGACAGTGCAACAGGGAAAGGATGGTCTTTTGAACGTATGATGTTGGGACAAGTGAACATCCATTTTTCACCTAATGGGTTTAGTATCCATTGATGATGATTATCTAGACCCATTATTTCACTACAAGGTGTAATAGGGTGGTTTTCTAACTATATTACCCCTTCTGTATTTATTGTATAAACTTCTTCAATAAATATAAATTTTCACCATTTCACCTAGGAAAGGCAGGTTAAGAGAGAATCATCTATAAATGTTCAAAGAAATAACAGTGTTTTGTCATCTTCATTGGTAACCAATGAAAGTTGTTTGTTTGTTTTTTATTCTTATGAATTCATAAATTTTCATCTGCTTGATAAAAAAAGTCTTTTATCAGATATGTGTTTGCAAATATTTTCTCTCAGTCTGTGGCTTATCTTTTCATTCTCTTAACATAGTCTTTGGGAGCAGATGCTTTACATTTTTTTTAACTTTTTAAAAAAGATTTTATTTATTGTTATATTTAGACAGAGGGGAAGGGAGGGAGAAAGAGAAGGAGAGAAACATCAACGTGTGGTTGCCTCTCCCATGCGCCCACTGGGAACCTGGCCTGCAACTCAGGCATGTGCCCTGACTGGGAATCAAACTGGCGACCCTTTGGTTCACAGTCTGCGCTCAGTCCACTGAGCTACACCAGCCAGGGCAGATGCTTTAAATTTTAATGAAGTTCTGCTTTCACTTTTTTCTTTCATGGGTTGTGCTTTTCCTGTTGTATCTAAAAACTCATTGTCAAACCCAAGGTCATCTAGATTTTCTCCTAAGTTTTTTTCCAGAAGCTTTTTAGTTTACATTTTACATTTAGGTGTATCATCATTTTCAAGTTAATTTTTGTGAAAGAAGTAAGGCCTGTGCCTAGATTCGGTTTTTTGTGTGAGGTCCAACTCTTTGAGCACCATTTGTTGGGAAGACTCCTTTCTGCTGGTGGGAATGTAAACTGGTACAGCAGGGGTGTCAAACTCATTTTCACCAGGGGCCACATCAGCCTCGAGGCTGCCTTCAAAGGGCCGAATGTAATTTCAGGGCTGTATCAGTGTACCTACTCCTTCACCAGGGTCAAGGAGCTCGGCACTGCCACCAGGTTGAAACAAGGTGCCGGGCCGGATAAAACAAGGTGGGGGGCCGGATTTGGCCCACAGGCCCTGTGTTTGCCACCTGTGTGGTACAGTATGGAGGTTCCTCACAAAATTAAAAGTAGAGCTACCATGTGACCCAACAATCCCTCTTCTGGATATCTACTGAAAAAAATGATGACACCTCTTCATAAATACTTATATGCTCCTGTGTTTATTGCAATATCATTTATAATAGCCAAAACATGGATACGATCTAATGTCCTTTGACAGAAGACTGGGTAAGTCTATGCGGTACAGCTTTCAAGGGGTGACATTCAGCTGGCCAGCAGGGCCGCAGCATTTCCATGCTGCAACCATGGCCCAGTTTGTTCACAACCTCGCAGAGAAGGCCCCAGTGCTGGTAACTGCTGCTGTGACTTACTCAAAACCTCCATTGGCCACATTTTGGCACTGTGCCAAGGTTGACCTGCTTCCTCCAGCCCTTGCTGAGATCCCAGCAGCTATTCAGAGCTTGAAAAAAAAATAGTCAACAGTGCTCAAACTGGTAGCTTCCAACAGCTCACAGTTTAGGAAGCTGTGCTGAATGGTTTAGTGGCCACTGAGGTGTGGATCTGGTTTTACATCAGCGAGATCATAGGCAAGCATGGTATCATTGGCTATGTTTGAAGATCAGTCTTTAACATCTATTTTCTTTTTGGTTTATTATTTGAATGTTCTTGGACCATGAGTGATCGGAATGGTATTTGAATTAAAAAAAAGATGTTTAAAAAAACAGAATATGTGGTACATATACACAATGAAATAATACTAAACCTTAAAAAAAAGATAAAATACTGCCACTTGCAACAACATGGAGAAATCTTAAGTGAAGTAAGTCAGATGGAAAAAGACCAGAGCCATATGGTTTCGCATTTATACAATATAAGACCAAAAAGCAACAAATGAAGAAACAAAACAAACGAACGGCTCCTGCGTGTGGCCCTGACAGGTGTGGCTCAGCTGGTCGGGTGTCATCCCACAAAGCTTTAGGTTGCCAGTTCAATTCCAGGTCCGGGCACACGCCAGGGTTGTGGGCTGGGTCCTTGGATGGGAGCGTGTGAAAGGTAACCGACTGATGTTTCTCTCCCTCTCTGTCTCCCTCCGTTCCTGTCTCTCTAAATTTAATAAATAAAATCTAAAATAGAAAACAACTCACAGATACAGACAACAGAACCGTGGTGACCAGAGGTGGGGTGGAGAGTAAGGGGAGGACACAGAGGGGAGGTGGTCAGATACAGGGTGAGGGGTGGGAGCCAGACACCAGCTGGTAAGTGCACAACAGAACACATAGACGTCATATTATAAAGTTGTATGTATGAAATTTACACAGTTATGAACCAGCGTTAGCCCAACAAATTAAAGGTTTTTTTTAAAAAGACGTTTCCACTAGGGTCACTAAAAAGAAAAGAAACCCTCATATGGGAGGCAGAGACCCCCAGGGTGAGAGGCGGCCAGCCGTCGTCGCTGACCGAGGGCACCGCCCACAGGAGAGGTCAGAGAGCTCGAGAGGGTACGTGTTAGCACAGCAATAACATCCTCCACGGGAAGCTTTAAAACGCATCTGAGGCCATTAAGGAAAAATGGTTGCCTTGATCTCAGAAGACAACAACAAATCAACTAAAATGTGTAACTGAAAACAGTATTTCATTTTTTTTTCATAACCACACCTGTCCTTTCCTTTCTAAACAAGAGAAAGGCCACTGGCCAAATTTCACACTTCTCCACTGCACATGTCCTTCTCCTTCCCATCCACCTTCTACAGGCCAATATTCCACTCACCCTTTTCCACTGTTGTCACCCTTTGTACAAACTTCATTCTTTACATCTTTGTCACAAGATTCGTGACTGACGTATGTTCATTAAGCTACATATTTCACACCAAGTTTCCTACTTTATAGGGTGGCTGGGTCTTTCTACACTTCCATTTTTATATTTTACAGTGACTTTTAACAAACATAGTCAATGAAAGGACCCTGAAATAAGTTTAAAGGCAAATTTCAGAAGTATATAGCACACAGTTGAAATCATGTCTGTTATTTCTTTTCCTCTGTACCAAACCTGACAGAATGTTTCTGCTTTTATAAAACTGTGATAAAACCAAAAGTTACACAGAACCATATTGATATAGATGGTTCTTTTTGAATAAATCGCCCTCTCTGTATCTTGATTCCAAGAGAGTTCACTTTCTATGGGCAGACTTGAACATAAAAAAAAAGAGAGAAAGAAAAAAACAGGCTTTTAACATTTCTAAAAGCACTAACAAATTAAACCCAGAACTCTATCTTATTTTACAGATTATTAAATATCATTGTGTTGTATATGTAGCCCAAGCAATATCTTGAAAAATCAAACGTGGCCTTTGTACCATTAGAAGCAAACAAGCGAAGAGGCTCCAGGGGACCCTTCTCCACCCGGCACTCTACCTTAATCTACTTGTGCTCGATAATCCACTTATGTGGTTTCCAACGTAGAGGAGAGGCAGGGGAAACAGCTTCAATAAAAAAGAAAGAATATTTGGTTAGAATTCCAATAACATACTTTCCTTCATATATAAAAATGGTGACATTCACACCCCAGTAGTAAGCAAATGCTTCTGAGTTCTTTTCTCTGCCATGAATGTGAACTGTGCAGAATCCAGAACACATGCACACATTCTCCATGGGATCCAAATAGCTAGGTGGGCGCTGATACCCATATTCATGGGGCAGCTGGACAGAAACAGAAATCTTGACCTTGTCCACATTAACAGACTATGCTCCTAAAAGAAGCCTCTGGACACGGACCTCTCTTGGTGAGTTAAGGATGAGTTACAGTTCATGCATGAAGTTCAAAAGGCTGTAAAAAGTTGTGCAAACTTCTGTATTCCGCGCATATATGCACTCTTCTGGACAAAGGCAAAGTTGGACAACATCTCACTGGAATGTCACAAGACTGGTGACCCGTTCAAAAAGATATGCATACCAGCCACATTACTTTCAAGTTACTTTGTCTTAAAAGCCAAAATAATTATCTACGTAAGTCAAGCAAGGCACACTCTCACTCTGTCCTTGAATTAGGTTTACTGAGCTCTGAGCTCCTGAATTCTGTTCAGACTGTCAAGAGGTATACAGTTCAGAACATACTGAAGAAACAAAATGTAAGGCCTAGTCTTCCTTAAGTGAAAAAAATATATGTATCCTTTTCCATATGATAACTTTTAAGAACTTTTTAACTGACATAATAGTCCATAGCAATCAAGGTGAGTTTAACATTTCTTTTTCCTCTAAAAAGGCGCTAAGCATGTAAGTCAGATAAGGTACCCTTTGACGGGTTCTGAAATAATAAGCATTATTATTAAGTATTATTAAGTATAATAAGTATTATTTATCATGTGCTAAAAACATTATAGAACTCTATTATGAGGAGATCTGCACAAGAAAGATTTGAGGAAGAGAGGGGAAGAGACCAGGACCCCAGCCTGCATTCACCAACAGCCGTGCAGGGTGGCTGCCTACAGCAGACGCAACGATAACACAGCTGGTGATAATACAACGTTAGAGGCACTGAAAAGAATCAGTTGCCTTCATTTCCATAAATAATTCAAAATAAAAACATACTGGCTTGTAGTTTCTGGTAACAGCGAGCTAAATTATTTATGCTAATCCCGCTGCTGAAAGTAATTAAAATGCTTGATAAAATAGCATATAAAACCTTCATAAAAGCACAAAAGAACAGGAAAAATAGGAATTCCCAGGGCAAAACTTAAAGAGAGAACACAAACCCAGAGAGAAACAATAGAAGCCAGAGGACAGCAAAATTTCATCTTCAAAATTCTGCCAAAAAGACTTTTTTCAACCACAAAGGAAAAATTTAGGCTTTTTCAGACAAATGAAAACCACTGGACTTCATCACCAGCCGTAAATTCTGAAGCAGGTGCTTCAATCAGGAGGCAAATGTGAAGAGTGAGATAAAATGGGAGAGAAAAGCAAAGGAAGTAGTAAATACCTGGGTAAATACTGTGTAAGAAAGGGGGCCACACACTAAAAGCAACAGTCCCGGGGAGGCCTGTGCGGTGGGTGACCTTACAAACTCAAGAGAGCTAAAGTAACCACAAAGGCTGGTCTGAAATGAAAACTTATTAACTAAAAACAGTTCATGGCAGGTAATCATGTGCTAGGCTGGTATGTTTCCCTAACAGAGTCCATCTTTACCTTAGCTGAGCCTGTCGTCTTTTTGTATCTACGATAGCACGCCTTTGCAATGTCTAGTCTCCTCTTTCTGGACCCCTCAAAGCACAGGCTCCGCACCACAGGGAGACCACGGATCCCCTCACTGTTACTGTTATCATGTTAACTGTTGACTATTACCTATCCTGCACCCGCCTGTGTAAAGATGTATCTATCATTTTACTTTTTATCCAATCCCAGGGGTTTCCCCACTTTGCTTCTTCCCCCCTCCCTAATCACCGGTAGATTTCACGTAACCCACTTCCGCCTCCTCTTTTAATTGTAATGTAAAAAATAAAGTGCAAGACTGCCATTCTCCTGAGCTTCTCCTTCCCAGCACCTGGCATCACTTTGACTCAAATAGACACAAAAATTCTCTACAGGTTTGACTGTTTGTTACGTTGACAATATGAATAAACATTGGTAGATTTTTTTAAAAGAAAATAAAGTATATTGTGAAATTTAAATAAAGGTAGAGTACATATTAAAGTATCTGCCGACACAAGCACATACACTGCGAGGAGAGATACACGGTGAAAGGCCCGGCACTGCTGAGAGGCACAGCACAGGTATTAATCACCTTTAGTTTGATAAGCTAGTTATGCCTATTGTAATTTCCAGGGTAACACCAAAAGAACTGAAGCAGAAGTGATCCACTTCATGTAATTAAACACTTTACATCACCAGAAAGATATAACTAGGTAAATTTTTTGGCACCTAAGGATACAGCCTCAAGATAAATAAAACAAAGCAAAATGCCTGGCGGAAACACGGAGAGAAATAATCAAATCTACAGAGATGAAGGCTGTAACAGTATCTCCCATTCCACGTGCTCTTAAAATGTGACTTTGACACTTCCTTCCATCCAGAGGTAGGGTCTACATCCCTTCCTCTTAAAATTGGGCGGGGCTATTTAACGAATAATGTACAAATGCAATGATGCTATGCAACCTCTAAGGCTAGGGCATAACGAGCAACGCAGTTTGGCGCCTCCTTGCTGGAATACTCTCACCCTTGAAGACTTCAGCCAGCATGTAACCATTACGATGACGACCTGAGCCTGCCATTTGTAAAAAGCCCCAACCTAGTTTAGATGGATGACCACATGGAAAGGCCTGAGATACACGACCAGCCCCCAGCTGCACTAACCAACCCCACCCCGATCATTGTTTCAGCTCTGACACCATCTGTCTGCAACTGTATGGGACTCTAGCCAGAACTGCCTACTTGAGACCTTCCTGAATTCCTTCCTGAATTTCACAGTAACTGAGAAATAATTAAACGAGAACTGGGTTTTTTTTTTCTATTACATATTTTGAAAGATAAGGCAAGAGAAGGAGAGAAACATCGATCAGCAGCCTCCTGTTCATGCCCCAACTGACTGGGGACTGAACCCAAAACCCAGGCATATGCCCCAACCAGGAATGAAAGCAGCGACCCAGAGCTTTGTGGAAGGACACCCAACCACCTGTGCCTCACCAGTCAGGCAGTGATTATTGCTTTAAGTCACTAAGTTAGCTTATGCAGCAAAAGATATCACAGCTAAAAGTATCTACAAAAACCAACAGCAGCCCTGACAAGTGTGGCTCAATGGGTTGGGCATCGTCCCACAAACCAAAAACTTGCAGGTTTAATTCCAGTCAGGACCCGTGTTGGGGGCTGCAACAGGCAACCCACTGATGTTTCTCTCACACATCAATGGTCCCTCCCTTTCTTTCTCCCTCACTTCCCCTCTCTAAAATTAAATAAAACTTAAAGAAAAAAAGAGCAAAAAACTTAATTAATGGTGAATTGTTAAAAGCTTTTCCACAGAGAACAAAGATGCCCAGTATTAACCATTTCTATTAACCCTGTATTAGAGGTCTTATATTATAGATAAAGCAAATAAAAGAAATAAAAGTATGTTAAAAAGAATGAAACAATATTGTCACTTTTTAGAGTACCTGATTGTGAATGTAAATATTTCTAAAAGAAACTACAAATAAATTGTGATTAATAGGTTATACTTTTGCAGTATAAAAGCAATATAAAAGTATGCCCTTTAATATTTTCCAAATAATATATTCTTAAAAGATACATTCAGCCCTGGCTGGTGTAGCTCAGTGGATTGAGCATGGACCTGTGAAGCAAAAAGGGTCACCAGTTCGATTCCCAGTCCGGGAACATGCCTGGGTTGCAGGCCAGGGCCCCAGTAGGGGATACATGAGAGGCAAATACACATGGATGTTTTTCTCTCTCTCTTTCTCTTTCCCTTCCCCTCCCTCTAAAAATAAATAAATAAAATATTTTTTAAAAGATACAGTCATAGCAAAACAATGAGATAAAATAAAGAAGTACCTCAGAATAAATCTAACAAAAACATTAGAACTCTGCAAAGAAAATGATTAAATTTGACTAAGAAGGTGTATATATATTATGTTCATTCATTGAAAGATTCAATACTTTAAAAATGTCAGTGCATTCCAAACTGACTTACAACTTCCATCCAATCCCAATCAAAATCCCAAAAGGTTATTTTTCTGAAGCCCGACAAGCTGCTTCCAATATTTATATAGAAATGTGAAACACTAAGAACAAGGAAGGAAAGACTTGTTCTACTGTAACAAGGTGCAGCCAGGCCTGCCCAAAGAGGGGTTTTTAATAGGTCCTGAACTTGGGGTGTCCAGGAAATTATGAAAATATATGATATCCCCCCCCAAGTCTGGACTGGGGGATGGGACACATGGAGCAGGGCCTTTGAGAATTATTTCACGTATGGACAGCTGGCCAACTTCACACCTGATATGCAAAAATGGTTATTTTGCATATCTATAGTGGTTGCCTAGCTTCACAGATATGTTAAGTAGCTGTGGTGCAGCTTCGACCCAGGGAGATGGGCGTGACTTCGATCCATGATGTAAATGGGAGCAGCTCCCCTTTACAGCACCTGTGGTTCTCTCCCACTGTGGGGCCGCACCTGCCCAGCCTAACTATGGTAGCCCAGAAAAGCTGAAAACTGTGGGAGTGCTGGCAGGTGTAGCCGACTGTGGGAGGAGTCGGAAATGGGGATGCAGAGGAAGATTCGTTCTGGGATTTAAACCCAGGCTTGGCAGCCATATGGCTTCTAACTAGGTGGTTTTTGGGGCTCCCTTTACCATAAGGTTTAGGAAGCAGGAAAGCAGGATGTAGCAGCCATGCAGGGCTCTCCCTTAGTCATCTGGAAGAATGCAGAAACAGTGAGGAAGGAAAGGGGTGAAACGACTCCTGCTGGTAGGCCATGAGAAGGTGCCACGTGGTTTCAGATTAAGAACTAAAGATCGTGGCAACACAACTGCTGGTGCTGGGAACCGCAGGAGGCCTACCAGTCGAGCACGGATTACTGGGAAGAACCAGGAGTCTAGCTGATCTACGAACTTCTGTTTTTTCCTGAGAAATGGAACCCCTTACTCACCTGGTTGGATAAAGGGAGGAAGGAGGGATTATGTGTATTTGTGGGTGTTTTAAGGGACTTTGGGATTTTTAATGGTGACATTCTGTCATTATCCTAAACCTGTATAATTTTTGAATAAATAGTTCTTTCCTTTTTACTAAACTCTGGCATTGAGAGCAAGAGTTCCTAAGGATGGCGGGCAAGGGGAACCTAGTGCAGAGGGACCTTGGGGGAGGCATCCCATGGGTAACAGTATCTTGTCCTCCCCACCACAGGTCCATTCTGCAACACTCCCAGATAACAAGACTTTTCCTACAACTACAGAAATTAAGATTGTATGGTGACAGTGCAGAAAACACAGATAGACAAATGAAAAAGCAGGCAGAGCCTGGAAACAGACTTGTGCATGTGAATGACAATAGCACGATATTAAGGACAGATTTTCCAGCTGAGTCTGTGACAACCGAGTGCCCATGTAAGAAAAAAATGAAATTGGACCATTACCTCACACCATCCACAAAACTCATCTCCAAGCAGATTAAAAACCTAATTCTGAAAATCTGTATACTATTTATCTAGAAAAATATCTTTATTGCCTCAGAGTAGAATTATCTAAATAAGCAAAAAGAGATTAATAATAGAGGAAAATACTGATAAAATTAGGGATTTTAAAATTAAGATTTCTTTACATGATAAAGAATACATCATCAAGAAAATAAGATATGCAACAAAGAGAAAAAATTTACTTGTGATACTGTATATAAGTAACAAAAGGACTATCGTTAAAATATTTTTTTACAAATCAGTAAGAAAAAACCTCCACTCAATAGAAAAATGGACAAAAGTCTTAAACAAGCACTTCACAAAAGAGGATATCCAAATGGGCATTAAAAAATATAAAGCGGCCCTGACTGTTGTGGCTCAGTGGGATGGGCATCGTCCCACAAACAGAAAGGTCACCGGTTCGATTCCCAGTGAGAGCATATGCCTGGTTGCGGGCCAGGTGCCTGCATGGGAAAGTGTGCCAGAGGCAACTGTTCAATGTTTCTCTTTCACATCAATGTTTCTCTCTCTCTCTCCCTCCATTTCCTTCTCTCTAAGCGTAAATAAAATTTTTTTTCAGTGAAAAGGGCCCTGGATGGGTGGCTCAGTTGGTTGGAGCATCATCCCACACACTAAAAGTTGCAGGTTCAATTCTCCGCCAGAGCACATACCTAGGTTATTGGTTTGATTCCTAGTCAGGGTGCATGCAGGTGGCAACTGATATGTTTCTCTTCCACATCTGTGTTTCTCTCTCTTTCTCCCTTCCTCTCTTTCTCAAATCAATAAAAAAATATCCTCAGGTGAGGATTAAAAATAAGTAACTAGAGAAATAAATAAACTAATAAATAGAGAAATGCAAATAAAAGCTAAGAAGATATTATTACACACCTACCAGATTAGCACAATTTAAAATGATGGACATATCAACAATAGGCAAGAATAAGGAGCAACAGGAGTGTACTTGTGTCATGAGTGAACTGGCACAACCACTTTGGAGAATAATTTGACAGTACCTACTCAAGCTGAAGACACACACAGGAGTACGCTGGGAGTCAGCAGCTCCATGTCTGTATACACCTCCCAGAGAAACTGATGCACATGTGCTGTTTTAGACTAAATTGTGTGCCCTCGAACTTCACATTCTGAATCTCTAATTCCCAGATGATTGTATTTGAAGATAGGACATTAAAAAAAGGTAATTAAGGAAATTGGGGTTAAATGAGGTAAATGGGGAGGTTATGTGCACCCCTACTCCAAAAAACCCAGTGTCCTTATAAAAGGAAGACACCAGGAGTAAAGGTACACAGAGCAAAGGCCATGTGAGGACACAGCAAGATGGCAGCTATCTACCAGCCAGGGACAGAACTCTCACCAGAAACTAACTCTGCTCACACCTTGACCTTCAACTTCCTGCCTCCAGAACTGTGAGAAAAGAAATTTCTGGACTTCCGGCCAAGATGGAGGCATAGGTAAGAAACACTGTCCCCCCTTGCACAACCAAGTTTAAAGACAACAAAGTTTTAGTAACAAAAACGCAACCAAAACACAGAAAATTGAACTGTACAGAAGTCCGACAACAAGGAACCCTTCAGCCAGACCGGTAAGAGGGGCGGAGCCAGCAACTAGCGGAGCAGGGTCGGGAAGGAAAAATTGGCCAGACCAACCCAGGCGTGCAGGCGGCCGTTGGTGGCAGATCCCAGGCATGGGGTGGCAACGGGTGGACCCAGTAACAGCACGGGCAGCTGGCTGACCTTGGTCACACATTTGCGCACAGATAAACCAAGCGAAGGAGCAAGCAGTGAGACAGACCATGCAGGCCCCAGCAGCTTGCAGGAAGCAGCAGAGGGAACCGCCATTACCCCTCTCTGAGCCCGACCCCACATACAGCGTCACAAACCAGCGACCTGGGTCGCCCTGCCCTGGTGAATACCTAAGGCTCCGCCCCTCATATGTAACAGGTGCGAACAGACCAAAACATTATGACTCAAGAACAGCTCAAAGCCCCAGAGCCAATAATTCTAAGTGACCAAGAAATTGCCAACCTATCAGATGCACAGTTCAAAACAATGGTGATCAGGATGCTCACAGAGCTGGTTGATTTTAGTCACAAATTGGAGGAACAAATGAAGGCTAAACTAACTCAGATGAAGGAAAATGCACAGGAAACCAATAGTGATGGGAAAGAAACTGGGATTAAAATCAATTGAGTGAACCAGAAGGAAGAAAGAAACATCCAATCAGAAAAGAATGAAAAAACAAAAATTCAAAAAAATTAGGAGAGGCTTAGGAACCTCCACAACATCTTTAAATGCTCTAACTTCCGAATTATAGGGGTACCAGAAGGGGAAGAGGAAGAGCCACAAGTGGAAAACTTATTTGAACAAATAATAAAGGAGAACTTCCCCAATCTGGAAAAGGCAATACTTCCAGGAAATCCAGGAAGCTCAGAGAGTCCCAAAGAAGTTGGACCCAAGAAGGAACACACCAAGGCACATCATCATTACATTACCCAAGACTAAAATGAAGGAGAGAATCCTAGAAGCAGCAAGAGATATAAGGGGACAGTCACCTACAAAGGAGTTCCCATCAGACTGTCAGCTGATTTCTCAAAAGGGACCTTACAGGCAAGAAGAGACTGGAAAGAAATATTCCAAGTCATGAAAGACAAGGACCTACATCCAAGATTGCTCTATCCAGCAAAGCTTTCATTTAGAATGGAAGGGCAGATAAAGTGCTTCTCAGATAAGGTCAAGTTCAAGGAGTTCATCAGCACCAAGCCCTTATTATATAAAATGTTAAAGGGACTCACCTAAGAAAAAGAAGATAGAAAAGATGAACAGTGAAAGAACAGCAAACTCACAGTTATCAACAACCACACCTAAAACAAAAGCAAACTAAGGGGACAGCTAGATCAGGAGCAGAACCATAGAAATGAAGATCACATGGAGGATTAGCAACAGGGGAGTGGGAGGAGGAGAAGGGGGGGAGAAGGTACAGAGAATAAGTAGCATAGATGGTAGGTAGAAAATAGACAGGGAGGAGGGCAAGAATAGTATGGGAAATACAGAATCTAAAGAACTTGTGACACATGAACATAAACTAAAGGGGGAAGGATGGTGGGGAAGAGGTGTGCAGGGTGGAGGGGAATGAAGGGGGAGAAATAAGAACTGTAATGGCATAATCAATAAAATATATTTAAAAAATAAAAATAAAATCTTTTAAAAAAAAGAAATTTTTGCTATCGAGGGCACCTACTTGGTGGTATTTTATTATGGGAATGCTGGCTAAGATCCAACTGTAAGTATGTTCAAAACAGTGCTTTTAATTGTTCTAGCTGCCAAACTAGAAACCAAAATTACCTTACATAGTAAAGCAGATAATAAAAGAATACACCTACATACAACATGGATGAATCTTACCGTTATAATATTAAGTGAAAGTAGCAAGATACAAAAGAATACACAGAGTTTAATTCCATTTACATAATGTTCAAAAATAAGCAAAACTAAACTGCATAATTCAGGGATTCGTAAAAATTTAGAAAAATTATGGAAAAAATTGCCCTGGCTGGTGTAGCTCAGTGGATTGAGTGTGTGCATGCAAACCAAAGGATCAAGGTTCGATTCCCAGTCAGGGCACATGCCTGGGTTGCAGGCCAGTTCCCAGCAGGGAATGCGAGAGGCAACCATACATTGATATTTCTCTTCCTCTCTCCTTCTCTTCCCCTCTAAAGATAAATAAATAAAATCTTTTAAAAAATTATGGAAAAGCAAGGAAATTATTATTACAAAGAGTTGGGTGAGGAGGATTTTGTGATCCCCCTTTATGACCTAGGTAATGATTACTTATTCAACTATATATTCACATACCATGCCTCTTCCCCTATGTACAGATCATACTTACAATTTTTAACTTTGTAATGTTTCTACCCAATGCAAGCAGGAATCAGTGTATACAAAAATGGACCTGCACTGTATGATCAATCTGTAAATTCTGTAGTATTTTTACATCTTCCATTATAGCCATATGTACTGTTTATCACATACCTTTATAGGAATTTTCCTGTCAAAGTCAGGGAAGTGGATTATTTTATTTAGCTTGGACACATACAGTATCATTATGGTGGCTGCCATCTAAAGAAAAGCGGGAAAAGAAACTTCAGCAAAATATGTGGACTGTTGGAGGTACAAAGACATCAGAAGAAAACAGATTCATCAAAAAGAAATATATTCCAAAAAATCATTTTCTAGGTTCCAAGAAAAATTAACTATTTTTATAACATTAAAACTGATTTCCTTAAAAAAATTTTTTTAATTAAAAAAAAAAACTGATTTCCTTGCCACTGTATGAATTTCAGCAGATCTACAGGCAAAAAAGTATCATATCAAATAGACTCACACACACCCCTCATCTCAAGGGGCCTAAGGAATGGTGACAAAGGGGAAACAGGAACAGTGTCCCCAAAACTGACCAGAGTGACCACAGTCAGTGAGGACCCGCGACCCTGGACATCACTCTCCATGCACTAAGTATGTGGTCGCCTTCTCCCAAAAAGTGAGTGTGGGGGTTGGAGAAGGACACACTCCACACACAAACACACTTTTTGGTAAAGTCCAGTATTTCTATAACGCAGAAGGCAAACTAAGAGAAAAATACATTTTAAAGGGGATTTATATTTTCTCCAATGTCTCCAGTATTTGCAAAAATGTCTCATTCAAATCCTACCATCCTGGAGCATATGTGGTATATTAGTAATACTCCAGATTATTATTATCAAATATAAATTTTAATATCATCTTCCTATGCAAATTTTAGGACTTTCTCAATCTTCTCCATATTACGATGCAAAAATTTAACACTCCGTCAATATGATTATAATCCTAAACTTTAATCCTAATGAGTTTATAAACTTAATACCCATAATAGATTTATACAACTAAACCAACCCATGCTGAATTATAATTATGGTTTATATTTAAACTTACTTTATAATTCTTAGAGAAATATACTAACACTTATTTAAAATATTCTGTAATTCAGACTTTTAAAATTAGGTCTTCTGGCTCCTTCCACCAACAAATTACAAATCGAAAAGAGTTTACCTTTACTGAGTACAGCCAGTGATTTTCTTTGCCTCAGGGAGTACAAAGGGCATATTATCATATATTCACTGACCTTTTAAAATCCTTTTTTCCACATATTTTCACATTAAGACATAAAAGTAACATTTTTTTACCTTAGGGAAATATAGTTTCCTTGTTATTTTTTCTCCCTAACATGATGTTGCAAAAAATACCATATTAGCAAAACATTTAGCCAGACTGTATAAGCATATAAATGACAGCTTTTTCCAGATTCACAATTAGACATCTTGTTAAGATATGATTTTCATAATTTTAATTTTTCCCCTATAAATTAAAGCAAACAGTAAAAAAATCTAATACCTGTTACCACTTGTCAACCAGAGGTCACCAGCATATAACCAAAAGAATAAACAAGCCACAAATTCACATTAATGGAAAACAGCCAAACAGATTAGTCCAAAAGTTTTTCCGACCTCAACTTTATACCTGAGAACAAAAACCACAAACCACAGGAATCAAACGTTTTCTGTCTGGCCCACAGACAGTTTTATAAAAACTGGAATCCATTGCCAGCATTTACAAATTGGGAAATCTATTTTATATATTGTAGTGTCAATATTTTTAAATTAAATGTTTTACATTCACATGTGAGGAGTCTTGTCGCTAAGGGGTGTATAACTTGGGGTCCAGCTGGTTTTCTCCTCTAACCTGCACTTGCTTCATAGCAGGAAAACGCTTTGCAAATTAATACCTTGCTTAAGTCCTCATTCTACCACATGTTAACTAACCTTCTAGCTGATAATGCAGACTATCACAGAGATTTTATTTACAAGGGCTCTAGAATATAATACAAGCTATTCACTCCAGCATCATCTGTTCCGAACATCCTGAATTAGTTCAGCTTTTTTGTGTTGTGGTTGGCTTCATAACTAGGCTGAGTTTTTCTCCCTCTACCTGGAAACGACACCCGAGTTCTTTCCTCGCGGAGTTTGTTCTAACCCTCGGTGTAAACTTGCTGTGGGGGTGGGGGTGGGGCACGCGGCTCCAGCTCACTGATCCTCTGCGGGTTAAGATGGTGTCCAGTTAGGTTACCTCTGGTGCGGTCCCGGGAAAATCACTTCATAGAAGTGGCCTTCCAAGTGTTTTTTTAAAATTTATCCTTCTATTGACGTTTCTAGGTCAATTATATACGTTGACTAAATTTACAAATAAACCTGCTTATCAAAAAAAAACAAACCCAAATTGGGAAATCTAATGTAAAAATTTCAAATTCCCTGCTTATCTTAAAAAACCTCTGGAGTCCTGATAATAAGGGCCTAGTGGGCCCTGCCTCATCTCCCCCACCCTCTCCCTCTCCTGCAGTGGCTGAAGCGGAGTCACAAGTGCACACCTCAAAGGAGCAACTATGTTCTTGGACCCCACCCTGGCCCCCAACCCATTCCTCTGTTACCCACCGACCATGGAGGCTTTCAGTCTTCTGGCCCCTTAGTTTAGTGTAATTAAATTCCATTAAGGAAATTAAACCAAGCACTTGTTTCCCCTACAAGTACACGCTCTTCCTCAATTATAAAATGTCTTATTTCACAGTTTCATCAAGAGTACCAAGACTACATCAATAAGTTGGTAAACCACAATCTTAAACAAAAGCACTTAAAATTTTATGTGTACTAACTAATTAAGAGTTTAATTTTTTTTTCACTTACCTGACCAACTCCAAGAACAATTGGTGACGGGAAACTACAAAATACATACAATAATAAATAATTTTAGCAACTCCTAAAAATCCGAACAGTCTATAATATAATACATAGTGACACAGTTACTAAAAAGTCTTGAAATTTTTTTCATCTGAGATGATGAAATCTTAACATCAAATTTGTTCATTTTTCATCTGTTTATTTCTTTCACTTTTTAAATGGATGGTTGCTAAACCTGGGAAATTTTATTGTCCTTGGTGGTGGACTGTCATATCAACAAACATGACTGTATATATAGGAAGCCAAAATAATCTGGGGATAAATTATTAGAATGAATAACTTTAGCAAAATACTGGATACAAGACAAACATATAAAAATATCTACATACCAGAAAGACATAAGGGGAAAAAAATTAAAGATGTTTACACTAGCACCAAAAACCAACAAACACTAACTGGACATTTTATGGTAAAAGGAACTGTTTTTACATTTTTCGGTATAAAATGATATTGGGTAGTGCTTTGTTCTGTTTTTTGTTTGAAGGGCAGCAAACGCCCTGGACCAGAGGCAGCTCCTCTCTGCCTCCCTCCCCCTCTCAGTGAGTTCAAACACAGCTCCCCCAGGAGCCACACCCAAAAGTGGGCAGACACTGTGGGAGAGGATGATGGTGTTTTGCACCCTAATCTGAGGATGGGGGTAGGGAGGAAAAACAATCAGCAGAAGCAAACAGTGTGCAAAGTTTTGTTTGAAAGCAGGTTTGGGTGGAGGGGGTTGGCAGGCAGAGTTGACACCCAGTGTCATACTCGGCCACATGAAGAGACCCACAATGGCACCAGTGGTCTAGGGTAGCCAGGCAGGCCAGACCAGCTGGAACGCACTGATTTCAAGGCTTCGTACTCATTTTGCCCTTGGCCCCTTCTCATTGGCATCTCGATGTCCTCCCAGAGCTTGGGGCTGATGGCTCTCAATTTTGCCCAGAACCTGATTAGGACTGGACTGTCCACTCTTGTAGTCTGCAATGACCCTGGAATTTTTGTTAATTTCTGGTGCCAGGTCTTCTGCGCCAGTCCCGTGCTCTGCCAGTCCGATCCTGCTGGATCACTCTGCCCACCTCCAGCGCTTGCCCAGTCCAGTTCGGCCGTGTTCTTGGTGACTGAATGCTGCTTGTTCTGGCCAGCAGCCCACTTCTCGGAATTCTCCACATCTCACGTGTGAGCTAAGATGGCCTGCTTGGACTGGGCCTGCGCAGCCAGGGTCCCTTATTTCGCAGCACTGTCCTGGTGTCCCAGTTACTCTCTGCCATCCATAGTGGGGGGAATGGGATGGAGTTAGGTCACATGGCTTCAGGGATGCCATGCTGCTCAGGAGACATCACCTTGTCACTCTGGGTCATGTTTATTTTTTAAAAGATTTTATTTATTTATATATTTTCAGAGAGAGGAGACCAGAGGGGAAAGAAAGAGAAACATCAATGTGTGGTTGCCTCTCACGGGCCCCCTACTGGGGACCTGGCCCACAACCCAGGCATGTGCCCTGACTGGGAATCAAACCCACAACCCTTTGGTTCATCACAGGCTGGTGCTCAATCCACTGAGCCACACCAGCCAGGGCTGGGTCATGTTTATTTTTAAAAAAAACTAAGGAGTCCTTCTTATCTTTTAGCATTACATAGTGAAATGCCTGTAATGATATATTTTAAATTTGCTTCAAAATAATCTGGGGGAAAATGGTGGGATTAAGTAACAGAGAGCTATAAATGTAACAAAGTGGTTGAAACTGGGTAATGGCTACATAGTGATTCACTTATTGTTTGTTTCATTTTGTTTTTAATAACATAACCAGGTACAAATCCAGTAAGAGATTTCCAAGAAACACATCTACAAAGAACACTATAAGTCAATATTTAAAAAATCAAAAGAGCCCTAAATAAAATTTATGGATTGGAAACCTAATATTGTCCATTATACTCAAACAGAGCTATATAATCTATGCAATCTCTGGAAAAATATCAGCAGGTATTTTGTGGAAACTGACAAGCTGATCCTAAAACTGAATGAAGGCAAAGAACAAAATTACCCAAGATAATCTTTAAGAACAGTGAAGCCAGAGAAATTACTCTACCGATGTCAGCATCATTGTAAGCTTACAATAAATGAGATAGTGTGGTATTTGGGCAATAGGGCAATGGAAGAGACCAGAGATGGGGACAGATACACATATATACGTATACCTGATTTGTGACAAAAGTGACAGTGCAGAGCAATGGGGAAGAGAGATGCCATTTCCACAAATGGCACTGGGCAGTCTGGACAAATCCTGACCCCTACCTGACACCATCCTTAAGAAGGTAGCTCACCACTTCGCTGGGCTCACTCACTGCCCGAGCTTCTCCTGGCTCCCAGTCATTCTCTCAGGCTACTAAAAAAAGAGGGAGGGATTTAAATTAAAAACAAAACAAAACAAAACACCTCAGCCCTTGATCTGCTTGTCCTGTGGAGACATAACCCATTTCAGACAGGCAAGAAAAAAATGAAAACTCAGCCTATCTTAATAGAGAAAACAGAATAAACAGTACCATTGTGAGAATAAAATGAACTCTAGCAGATGGATGCTGGGTTGTGTCACCCAGATACCCCCTTCTGGACTGAAGCACTCATTCCCCGGGTGCCCGAGAGCATCCTCAGGTAAAGAAACCTGCCTTGCCAATAGCATACTCCCTCTCTGAGGGCAACCTGCTTTGCAAACGCTGGTCTATGCAGGGGCAGAAAAGCTAGCTAGCTAGGGCCTCTGGCCCCAACTCAGAACAACTCTCTCAAGAGACTCTGGGATCAGGCTTTGCTGTGAGCACAGCACAGCACGGCCCAATCTCTCCCTCTGCCCAAGCCTGCTTCCCACCCTGCCACCACAGAAATGAATCCCAAGAGTGCTCCTCAAATACTTCCCCAAATCTCAGAGTCTGCTTCCTGGAGAATACAATTTGGGACATCAAACAAAATAATAGGATATCGGAGACCATTCTGCATGGCCTGGGCCCAACTCCCACTGGGAGATGCACAGGACCCACGCCCATGGATAGGTTCTCCCGTGGGGAATCAGGCCTGCGTTGTACCTAAGCCACTTTGAGACTTGCTTTTTGCTAAACCATCCTCACCCTGAATCTAGGCAGAAAACATTTACTGGTATCTTTAAAGTAACTTCCCTGAATCCATGCTAAACCTTCCAAGGACGAGTGTAACCAGTTCAACCACTTCTTGCATTTGCAAATATCCTTCATCTGTGATGTGATTAGCGGCATCCTCTCCTTTGTTTTCTGTAAAAGGTAACCACCTAAAGTGAACCTGTGCACAGTAAATGAGGACCATCATGTAGTGTGCCCAGAAAAACAACAAAAGCCCCTCAAGACAAAGGCCAAGGCTTTTTCTCCTCTTGAGAGAGAAGCTGCCCATCCCTCTTCCTCCACTGGACGCACAGTCCATGTGAATTTGTCTCGTCTCGGCTACAATGCCGTGGATCCCACGAGTCGGGGTCCGTGGCAGCACGCCAACCATATAAAGAAACAGTACAACAACAAACTTATAGAAGCCCTGGCTGGTGCAGCTCAGTGGATTGAGCGCAGGCTGCAAACCAAGGGGTCACCAGTTCGATTCCCAGTCAGGGCACATGCCTGGGTTGCAGGCCAGGTCCCTGGTACAGGGCGCACAAGAGGCAACCACACACCGATGATCCTCTCCCTCTCATTCTCCTTCTCTTCACCTCTCTCTAAAAAAATGAATAAATAAAATCTTTTAAAAAAAACTTACAGAAGGCAGACAAAGAGCCCAGCCTAAAAGAAAATATAATATGCGGAAAGAAGGACCTCATCATAATTGCTTCTCATTAGTAAGAAGATGAGGCCAATAGGCTAAGAGGGCAAAACAGTCAGACGAAGGGGGCGTGCAGGTCCACGGAAACGACCTGGGACCAAAACAACACACCCGCCACACCAGTAACTTAGAAACCACACGAAACTAAATGGCCACTGCTGAAAACTGAATCGCCATCCCTGGAAGTAGGGTAAATGCAGAAGAAAAAGACTTGGAAGTATCTATTCAAAGATAAATATATATGGAAGATAGACAAACACCCCATGCAGGGCTAATTGTTGAGTCAGGTGTGAAGAACTCAGTGAAAAGAGAAAATGATTTAAAAAGACAGATTCATTTCCATGACATGAAGAAAATAAGCTGAATTTTCAGATCTAAAAGCACACTTATTACAGAAAAATCTGTTAAGAATGCTCACCATGATTAATACAGTAGCCATGAACTCTTCATGAAAAAACAGATTACCTGACAATGGAATCCGCCAATTAGGAGTCAAATCAAAACAATAAACTCTGGAATGGAGACAACTGTGGGGTTAAAATTACAGAACAGGATGCTAAATTATAAAAGAAGTTATGGAGGGAAGGGGAGAGGGGAAGAAGTATGCAAGTGTCCTCATCTTTCACAGCACGGAGGTCATACCTACTATCAAAATTGAAATGTGTTTCTGAAATAAACATAATGACTTCAACTGAATGTTTTTCGTGACCTCTTAATCTTAATGGGGTCTTTTAAGACATATTAACTCTACACTACAAGTGAAGAAATATATATACCTGAAAGTCAACAATTCTTTTTGTTGAACTTTCTCTTTCCTCCATTCAAATCAGTTAGAAGTAATTTCCTACACATACGCTACTTGCAATCTCCACCTTAACTAAGTCTTCAAATGCAGGCTAGAAGTGGGGAGGCGGCCCTTCCACAGGACAACAAAACGCCCCTTCAGAGTTAGCAGGAACGACAGGGATGGGCCTCCTGTGATGGTTTCTATTTGCTCAGAGAAGTATCACGGAAGGAGAGTGGAGGATGGGGATGTGGGTGGTTTCACGTCACAGAGCAAAGCCTGAAAGAGTCATTTCCAGGACAAGGAGAGCTGTGTGAGGTTTGTGACTGACAATTTAAAGTCAAACCAGCCAGCCCAGAATGGTTTCTCTGCCGGGACAGTCACAGCTGCTC